TTTGTTGTAGAACTAAAATTTGCACCTTTATCGAATTTTCCTCGGAAACAAGAAGGTCGTTCAACACGACATTATTGTAAATTGTGTATGTTGTACTTTTATTTATTTAGTTAGTTTTATTAATTTCAATTTGGCTTTTTCCTAGTTGGGTAGTTCAATTATTTCTTACTTGAATAATGTTTATTCACCCTTAGGATATGTTGTCTGCTCTTTATATTTGTGTTTTGACAGCATATTTGTGATAACCTTTAATCCTCTTTCAAAAGTCCATTTAATTTTGTTCCAGCCATTGTTTCCTCGCTAAGGACACACGCATAATTTTACTGGAGGATAACATGCCGCTTTTCGTGGAATGTCATTTATGTTTCACATTGAATAATCCAAGATGACAGCCGTAAGAACACATATTTGGATGTTTCTAAATTCAAAATATTACCCTTACGATGTTAAATATTGATTAAGCTGGTGCTAGTCGAGTGGACGGTAGCTTACACTCTCCAGTAGAGTTCATGAACAAGCTCAATCAAACCAAGCCTGCAACAAATTTTATAGTATTATTGCCATTTTTAATTGATGTAGCGTGTCAGAAATGTCTCCTTGTGTCCGTATTAGTATATGAGACAATATTAATCCGTTTTAAGATTACAATTACAATGATAATCGATTAATTACCTTAAAAACTTAAAAACCTAAGAAACTATCGGAGCTAATTATCAGAAACGAAATCGGAGTCGAGATATGCCTATAAAAAATAAAACATCAGTGTCGCTGAATGTGTGTGAAATACTCACAATCAGTAGCATTTTAATTTACTAATAGTTTTAAATTATTGAAATTTTGCAAGAAGAATTAAGGCATATCTACATAATAAAAGCAGTCTTACATTACGATAATCATGATAGGTGATGTCCGATAGAGTCTGTTTTTAAATACGTTACAGTCTGATTATTTGATATATGGATAGACATTCAACTTAATTAAATGACGATAATAACGTAGTCTAGCCTGAATGGGACATTGATGTATCATAAATGTTTTAGTTATTGGGTAACCTTATATTTTGACTGAAATGTGTCGGTATGCCGGAGTCTGGTATTTCAAAGATGATTTAAGTAGAAACAATTACAGAAGATTTAATGCCAGTCTCAAGTGGCTTATTAGCTTCAATAAAAATCATTGTGTTCAACTAACAGTCAAAATCTAATCAATACAATCATTCTGGCATAAAAAAAATTATTTAGGGGAAGAAAGAGCATCTCAATTTTGAAAAGTATCCAAAAGGCTACAAATACTGCCAATTTATTAACACTAAGGGTCATTGGCAATATCTCGGTAGGGTAATTTTTTTTCTTTTTTTAATGTTATGTTTCTTTCAGATCATTTTTGAAAGAAATACGCAAACTTTGACAAAAGCCTCTCAATAAAATAGATTTTGGGATATTTTGAATTGGTTCTCTAAGAAGCAAAATATAAAAAGAAGTTGGTTTTAAACGGATGGGATGGGTAATATCAATACACATATTTCAAACATTTTAGTCGTTACAGTGTAATTTTTTTAGCTGAATGTTATCATTTGCTTCTTGTCAATAATCAAAAGGAAAACTTATTGATAAAGAAGATAAAACAGGTGTTTTTGGTTTCCTTTTTTTCTGAAAACAGCCCTTCTTATATCAAAGATTTATTTCAGAAAAAATTTCAAACCCCCAAAAATAGTAAACTTTGCTTAACCTTTAAAAACAGCTACCACTGAAGCTATTTACGCCCTATGCTGTTAATTCTAGTCGCTTATAATATAAATCACAGAAAATATTTAAAAAGTAATAATTACAATTTCTCATTTTCGTGATTCCAATAGTAAGCTTGTATAGCTGACACAAAATTAAATTAGTTTGAATACTTGTATGCAGATGTTTTTTTCGTTACATACAATAATTACAGTAATATAATGCAACTTTCTAGCGTCTAAATATACGCCCTCAATACTTTTCAAGCAATCTTTCTTATTGACAAAGTAATTTCGTGCCTAATCTTTCTAAATCTGTTATGATCTTAGTCTAACATCCGCTGACATTTTCCTATCAAATCATTCAAATATGGATAATTGCTAATATATCATTTGTAGTGTTGGTTTTGGCATTATCAACATTTAGTTATGTTTTGTAAACTCTTGAACATGTTTGATTGTTTTCCAATTATGATCCTATGATATAAAAGCTTTTCATTTTATTAGATTAGCCTGAAGTTATAAGTTCGCAATAGATGATGAATAACCATTGCTGATTCTGTTTTGTTTACCACTTGTATGTCTTCTTGAATGGCATTATAAATGTACACTTTGAAACAGATTGTGACTTGATCTAAACATTGACTTCCGCATTATGTCATGCAAATATTAGCATTTAATATATTTTTATCCTGTTGAAATTATACGGTTTTAAACGTTTGTAACGTTTCAGTTGGTACTTAAACATCTTGTGAGACAGCTTGTATAAGTAAAATGTGTAGAAAACTCTCAAAGGAAAGGTGAAATACACATAAACGTTAATATCTTAGATGAAAAAGTTTACTAGTCTCAAGAATTCGCCAAAGAGTACTTTTTGATGCAGTAAACAATAACATTAACTAAGAAATGGTCTTGAACACTTAACTAAATCATGTTTTGAAATTAACACAGTTGTTTTTATGGCTGGACGCTAGGTAAAATTGTATACTCAACTCTTACGGCAGAAGCAGGTAAATTATAACAATGACTCACCAATTTTTTTTTTTTTCATCCGAGAACCAGAATATTTTTAGGCATTGCAAATGTGTACATAAAGCAACAAAATGTGTTTGATAAAGCTACAATAGAAAATTCTCGTAAAGATAATATTAAGAATAAATTTACTTAAATTTCATGAGCTTAACCAAACTGACCGTAATGATATCAGGACACTACCTTTCTTCAAGTCTTAAGTTTTTAAACAGAAACACATGATCATTATATGATAAACTATTACTTTGGTAACTAAAACAAATATTTATGACCAAAGAACAGACCCAATCAAATTAGAAGATAACACATGTTTCCGGTGTTCACACCATATCAGTATCATAAGTATTGTACAAACTTTCGAGGTAATGACATTACTATTAACAGTGGATGTAGAGTAATATACTGTTTTGTATCATTGTAAACTCTTGACCCCAAAACAATTTTCTCTTGATAAGGTTAGTTTTGTTTTTCCTCATAAAAATCAGATCGAAATGTAAAGGATAATTGGTCATGCTTGTTTTGATAGTATTTGATTGTCCAGTGGAGATAAATCTGAAAACAATTAGAGAAATATTTCCAAACAGATGTAAATGAATGGCTTGGTAAATCAGTCATCGCAAAATAATCTTAATATGATGGTTTTCTGTTATTTTACATTGTTTCATTTTAACGCTGAATTGAGATTATGTTGATCAGTGTTGACTTTTACTTGACATATATAAAAGCATTTTTTATGACTGGAGATGGAACTTGGCTATATTTAAAGCAAAATCAAAAATAATCAGAAAATGTGTTGTTTGTGTGTGTGTCAGTGTGCGTACATGCGTACGTGTGTTTGTGTGTATTATTGTTTTTGATCTTGTGACCTTCGAAAACAAAAATCGCACTCGCAACTAAGCCAAATGAGGAATATTATAATCATACGCTAAAAATACTGTTTTCTAGATTATATAAATAATAATAACTTACGAAAATCGTTCGTTATTTTGATAGTCAGTTGTTAACAATCCTAGCACATATGGAATTTGAAGGATTGTGATTTCTGCTTAAAGATAAAACCTACCGATAGCATCCCGAACTCCATGAGCCGTTAAATTATAAATGAGAATAATATAAATAGTAATGTGTTGGTAAATAAAATAAAATATTAAAATACGTTTTGTGTTTCTAATCAACATAAAATTATTACAATATTCACAATGCCTGACCGGCATTTCCTGGAAAAAAACGTTGGAAATAATCGGAAAGAACATGGTTTATTGGCAAAACCAATCGTATTTTTGTTTACATTTTTCTAAAGTTCAAATCTGACACTTTCATACGGAAAGCGAAATACGATTATGTCACTTAAAATTTTACATTTTGTATCTATATAAATTTCAAAAATGTCACATTAAATAGCAAACATCAAACAAAACTGGCATTCAAGAAAAGCATGAAAGCTACGCTGCATTTTTTATCATAATATGTTTTCGTAAGAAAAAGGGCAAAACAAGTATGATGACAGTTATTCTAATACTAAAACCATTTAAGGAACTCGTCTATTACAAATTTTAGCATAATTCTAAGAAATATTCTACAAGACAATTGTGACATATGCTGTTAGGATATGCTTTGTTTTATAACATTAATTTATTTGACACTTTTATCATATTAGATCCATCCGTTGCTTCTATTTGCGATAAAGAGTGCACCAATTAACCATCCCTGCTGTATATAATATTTGATGGAATAGACATGATAAAATTTTAATGAATTAACAAGTTTATCAAGTGTCATCTTCAAATTATGTAAACTATATTGTGTGTGTACTTTTGCTTGGGTTTATAAGTAATTTAGTCTATATAAAAAATCAAAGTAAACTTATGTATATAAACATGCACTCTCAAAACATTGCTTAGTAAGTAGTAATACTGACCAAAGACAAAAAGAAACAAGTGTTTTAACTGTTTAACAAATGTTGCCACTTCATGTCTCGTGTCCTTACTTGTTTTTCAATTTCCCTCTTACGACTATTTACCATTAAATGTAACAAATAATAAAGACAAATATTTGCCTTAAGTATTCTACTGATTTTGCTGGATTTCAAATGTGACAGATAAAAGACATTTTCTGGTTACCATTTCAAAACCTAAGTAATATGGGGAGATTGCGAAAAAAATCCAATAATGCTTCTCGCTATGCTTTCTTAAAAGCAAGCAAAGTCATTGTTGTAAACAGTATCCAGGAGCATAGCTGAACGGAACAACAATACTTAAAGGAGCGTCAGAATTCTATATTAAATGTTTATTGTGTTTTAGTGACTACAAACTTGAATTAAGTTAAAGTATTTCTTTTTGTTATTCAAGATAAAAGAGAAAACTAATTTCTTTAAAATTTGAAATTCTATCTTTTCTATTCAACTAAGTGCCTCAGAAATATAAAGGAATAATCATTCTTTCAATTGAAAATATGTGTTGTTAAAGAAATTAATAGTGTTGGAAATGGTTATTGAAGATTAATCATAAGATCTACGCGTAGTTTGAATATTAATTGTTTGTTGTGACATCAAATTAACACTTTAAGATGGGATGTACTTGTGAAAAGATTTGGAGGAGAAAACATTCTAAAATTGGTCATAAATGTGACAGTTTTGATTCTCCGCCAAATTTGACAGATGCTCAGAAAGCAGTTATTCGGAATAATTGGCAAATTTTAAAATGTCATGTGGCAAATATTGGAGTTATAACATATGTTGGGTAAGTATGACTTAAAGAACAATCAACAATTCAATATAATAATTTATAATCAGACAAAATATGCAAATATTTCTAACCGTACTTAAGATCTCTTGAACTTTAAAATCCATATCTTGTTTGGCAGCGCAAAAAATCAAATTCTTCATTGAATTCCTTAAGACACAGTTATTTTTAGAAATGAATCATAATTTTGTGTACTTAGATTCTTACATTTTGAAAATGTAAAATACGAAATGCCGTATTCAGTCAAAATTAAAATACATCACTATTTTTTTATCTATCTTTGAATAAAATGGTGATTTTTGTGAAGGATCCGAAAAAAAAGAATATTTCATAAGTATAAAATGGAAATGATTAAATGCGCCACATTTTCCAATCTTATACAGAAATGGCACTCTAATACTGACTGTAGTATACTTATTCATTTCGTTTTTAATATTTTCTTGTCCCGTTCTTGAAAATTTAAAAAAAGTATTCTGCTAAGGTTTTTTAAGGACGGGACACAAAAATATTTTGTTCGAAATTTGGGTATAAGCTGATGTGCGTCTTAATCAATGGTTGACCCGAAACTAAGAGGTGTTCCAATGTTTTTAACTCAAATCAACAAAAGACAAATTTCAATTTAATTATGTATATATTAACCGTCACGAACATTTTTGTAAACAAATTCCCAGGTAATCCATGTTAGACCTTTTGTGTTTTATGCCTTTGAACTTCATTGGAGATATACAAAGTTATCTTAATTCAATAAAATCAACGGTTGCTTTTATAAAGATAGAATATTTAACGCAGTTCATATCTAATTGCTATGTCTTGTTTCAATTGGCAACCAATATGGCAGTTCTAAAAATTTCACTTTTAGTATGTTTGAAAGCAGGCCAGAGCTATTGGAAGTATTTTCAAAGTTCAAGGGGAGAGACCTCGACGAATTACGACGCGCCGGTCTTCTCCGTCAACATGCACTTCGGGTAATGGCTACAATTGACAAAGTGATTACACGACTTGACGAGCCTTCCAGTTTAAAACAGATGCTCAGGGAGGTGGGAGAACACCACAAAGTATATAAAGTGCCTCCTGATTATTTGCAGGTAATATTTGCATGTTGAGGCTTATGAATTGTCAGTTTAACTTTTTTTTTATTCAATGCCCTTGAAGGCTTAGCCAAATCAAGATATTTGTGTCTTCATGATAGAGATTAAACAAACCCATCCACTTCAAGGAAGGCACCGGTCATTTTGATATGTATATAAATGTATCATTATGTTATATTTCTATATGTTTTTTTTTCTTTTTTCGTATCAAAAGGTTGCTAAATATCACAAAATAATTCTTCATTTGGGTTGTATTTCAGGTCATTTTGCCACATTTCTTGAATGCAATCAAACCCCATATCGAGGATGATTGGTGTGATGATTTAGAGGACGCGTGGAAAACTATGTTCGCTGTTATCTTGTATCATATGAAAGAAGGATATAATGAGACAAACCACAATCAAAGACATTACATCGTTGAATCGTAACATATAAAATGTATGCATTCAAACGATCACCTAGAAAATGAGATTGACAATTTTATCATCATTTCAGTATTAAAATTGTGTACAGCAAATATGTGACAATCAAGACAAGTGAATGATCTATTAATGCATTTTCTATATGTCAGTGAATAATCCTTTCAGTTAAAATTATGTATTTTGTTTGAAAATATCTTGTATGTGTCTTTACATCTGATCACAAATGCGGCACTATTCTACTTTCTGTCAACTGATATAAAAATATAGCTTTAGATATATAGTTCCTTTGTTTTTCTTTGAATTGCTTTTACTTTGTTTGCAGACAATCAAATTTATTGGCATTTCAACTCAATGAAAATTTTAAATATTTTCCTATTTATAAGGGCTGATTCCAAAGTTTGCGTGTAGTACCTTTAGTCTAGAACATTTCCTCAGAAAAGCCAGCAGTGTTTAATTGAAATAGCTATTCATTTCATTTATGTTTCAATAAGCTTAAGAATTACAATTACATTTAGAAATATGAAAATATATCTCCTCTAAACAAATATTTGGAAAACTGATATATGACTCGCGATTCTGAAGTATTGAATTTCGTTGAAACATTATAAGTTGCTATGACAAATACGATATTCAAGTTGTATTTCAAAACATACAGAAAAATTTGCATTACTGGTAATTTGATTCATGAGAGATATGTCACATTTTGAATTTTTGATATTTGATGTAAATTAAATTCTTATGTTTCATGTTTTCCTCCATTTGTCAGCAAATAAATTGCACAAAAGTCAATAGAGAATGAAATGTTCGAAGCGTGTGCCACATATAGCTAAGCCAATACATAGGAAATAAAACAAAAATTTGTAATCTGATTTAATACAAGTTCATCTCAGGAAGTGAATATACTTTAGTTAGACACACAAACTATGTTTTTAAGTAATTTAGCAAACAAATTAGTGAAATAAAGTCCACAAAGTGTTTATATGCTTTATATATCTTTCAGTTTGTGAAGAAATGACAGCATTAGTCAGTTTATTAAATCGCATTTTGTAAGCTGAATGGAAGTACTTATACAATAAATGTATAAGTTTTATTTGACAAATAAAATCACGGCTTTTAATAATAAATTCAATATCATTAATCGTTTCTTGGCAATTGTCTCGCCTCGTTCAAATTTAAGTAAAAGTATGTTCTTCAATGATTTTATATAAATTTTAAACTCTCCGTTTATACGAATTTATTTTAATTCAATGATGTTGAGAGCTTATTGATACACTCTCGATACGGTTTCTAAAACTTACTAGTACCAAGAAAGGAAATTTTGCTCCAGAAAATAAACGGCTTGTTAAATCTACTTTAAAGTATACTTTTCAATGGTTCTTTATAAATGTTAACCTCTAGTTTATACGATTTTATTTTAGTTCAATTACGTTGAAAAATTTATTGAAACATTCTCGAACCGTCTCCTCGAACCAACCAGTTTTAAGCAAAAAGTGTAAAGTTTCTTGCTCTGACGGGGCTTGAACCACATGAATTACTAATCCAACTCGTAAATCACTTTGCCAAACTGCTACTTTACGTTTGAGTTCTGTTTCATTTATTTCCATGACAATCCTTACATTTCATAATATTTTGTCGTCTCAAAGGAAGCATAAATAAGCCAGAGGTATTTTGATCTGATTTCATGCCTAAGTATAATAATGGTTATTTGCATTTTTTTGATATTTCAGTTATCACTATGATTAATCTGATGGTGTGTAATGGATCAGACTATTCATGCGACTTTTCAATCAACAAATACGTATATGTTAGACGTATGATTAAAAATAAGATCAAATATGAACCTTTAATAGTTCACAGATCAGTTTTTATTCTTATTCATATGATGTATATTGCAGGGAAATTTGATTAATATCTTAACTTGTGTAAAACGTGCGTTTATAGTACTGTATATCAGGTTTTTTCATGGGTATTTAATTTTTGCCATAGTTGAGCGCACTAAATAACGCCAAAAAAAAGATTCTCTAAATTGTACTTTAGTCGATTTTTATACATTTAATTCACACATTTCTATGAATTGATTTCCAACCATATTTTTGCTGTCCAGTTTTGTCGTGTATTTTTTACGTTGTGATTCTTAGATATATAGCAATAGCAATATTTGATACAGAATTCTAGGTTAATTAGCATAAAATGTATTTACATATCTTTTAGTTTACAATATATAAGATCTATCTGAATCACGATACAAAAGAGATGATTGCATGTGTTAAATTTTAGTTTTCCTGACTCGTGCCATCAAAGGAGACAACACTAGAATATATTAGATTACATCATTAACGTTGTATCAAATGATAAAATTTACACTAACCCGTTAAAGCAATTTGTAAAATGTGCAAACAAGCAAGCATTTCCTGTCAAACATTGTCAAGGAAATAAGGAAATATTGCTTGCATAAGACATTACATTAGCCTCCAACAGACGCAATTGCTTTTGATTGTACAAAATTGCATAAAATCTCTTACAGCGCGAAAGCGGTGTAACGAGCTGTTGTATGGCTAAATTATAGTTTAAAGTTGATGTTGTATAGAACATGATGCGATGGTTTTGTAAATTCAAAAGTGTATTAAAATATGCAGTTATTAGTTTGTTATTTGTTATAAAATTTACGTAAATAGATAGGTTTTCTAAGTATGGGCATTTACATGTTGGTGTTGTTTAACACTTTGTAAATACAACCGTTAACTTTGTTCATTACAGTTATATGCTATTTCGTTTTGTATGCGATTTTATGTAAATACAACCGCTTGCATGCTCAGCCTTTGAGTAACACATTCTGATTTTTTACGTTTGATTTGCTTAGTTATTTGTATTTGATATACACAGCTTAATGGTTTAGTTTATACGAATTTCTTTTAGTCTGATAGTGTTGGAAACTATAGCTTATATCGAAACACTCTCGAATCCGACTCTAGACCAAACCACTAAGCAATGGCAGTAAGGTTTCTGCTAAAGGAAACAACAATGTATCCCTGACACGGATTGAACCTACGTGGATAACTAGTCCGACGCGTTAACCGCGTGGTCTTACCGACACGTCATTATAGAGCACAGCAGCTTGTTTAGCTTATTTATTTGATGTTGATATACAAAGTTTAGTTTCTTATATTGTTATTGCAGTTTTGAATGTTCATTTATTTGCTTTTAAGTTTAAAACAAACAACAAAGATACCACAGTTTCTTATGTCTTGATATCACTTTTTGTGTTTTGCTCCGTTATTTGCGATTGAAGTACAAACTATATATAATTCGTTCATTAGTAAAAACGGATTGGTACACCACGAACTATTCATTTTTTTGTTAGCTTTAAACTGCATATAATAAGCTCTTATATCCATAGAACACAATAATATGTATAACACAGCTACGATGAAAACTACGCATAACAACTTGTTATACATGACTAACTTGTTTCTGTTATATTGAGGCCTTTTTGTTGTACAATAACAATCCATGGACCATTTTGTTATCCTGTAGATAATTAATCAAAGTCGAAAATGACACCGGAAAGTCTGCTGTCTGACGTTATTGTACGATAAATGTTTATAGTCCCCATTGATTACAAAGATTATGGATTCTTGAATTTGTCATTTGATATTTTTTCTGTCATGCATTTTACCAAGTACATAAATGTCAAATTTTCTCAATCTAAACATTGACTTTACTCCTGCATCTGCAAGCAAAGATAACAGTGTATACTAGAGAATATTGAATGCACTGCAAACGTTCATAACAGCGATAAAGGCAGTCTCTTTCTTCAAATTTACTAGGGACTGACATTTGATGCTTGTCCAAATTTGGCTTTAACAAGTTTTTGTAAATTCTTATTCGTGCATAAGCATAATGATGAGCTTTTAAGTGGACTTAATTAATAAAATAATTGTGCAAACAATCATTTCCCATCCAGTGCAAAATAGAACAAAAAACAAAGTTTTTCACTTAAATAAAATTTATGATTTGCTTAAGATGTCATACTCCTAAAGCCTTGCAGGATCATTTACAAAATTAATTGGACCGAACAACTTATTTGTTTGCGAATGTATCAGAAATTGTGCTCTGCATGTGGCACTCGATATGATTTAAATCAAACAGATCATTTGACGGGGAAGACGGTCATAGTAAAAGTCGCGTAATTTTAAGAGCCAAACATTAGCTAAACATACCAATACTTTTTTATATTAACACCAAATCATAGCCACTTCCGGGACTAGTAATGAAGCATAAGTAAGTTGTTTCAAACTGCTAAATTAAATGATAAAAAAATGAAAATATAGCTTCAACAATATTATTGAGATTTTTCAGGCATTCGTCATTGATAGCATGATAATATTGTTGTCTTTAACAGTAACACTGGAACCATCTCTGAATGATCTGATAATTATATATATTAAATATGTTAATTCAAACAAAGAAACTGTGTAGTATTCATATGAACCTGTGTTGTACTCCTATGGTTATTGTATTGTTTTTACATGGTTATTGTTCTTAATTGACATGGCTATTGTATTGTTTTGCATTGTATTTTATTGTATTGTATTGATATAGTTATTGCATTGAATTGAATTGAATTAACATTTTTAATATGATTCGTTATGACCACGAAATGACACTTAACCCAGTATTTTCAATGTTTTATGTCAAACTATAAATAGATAGTAAACATAAAGTTCGTATTTATCTAAAATATTTGACTGAATATATTTTCGGTTCTTTCAATTCGATATCATTTGGACTTCATACGATACACTTGAAGGCAACAAGAAGGGAACATGTCTTAATTAAACCGCGGAGTGTTAATTTCCTGCGTGCAGCAGCACAAACAACTGACATTCTGTGGTCTGACATTCTGCTTAATAGGTTATTGTTAAGTTAAAGTGACATGCTCATTTTCTCATTGTCAAGCTGAGCTGAATATATAACATATTTTAAAAGTGACGGTTATTTTGGTGATTGACCAATAATTGATATTAGAAAATGTTTATGATAAAATATCAGTCTGCCTGAAATATAACATAACTGCCCCACTTTTTTTATAAATATAAGTAGTATTATATTGCTCCTAACATTTAAAGGTACATAATGCCTCAGAAACGAATGAATCTTTAC